GTTTTGAGGCCCACCCTGGCCTCCCTCGATAATAAACAGACAATAACCTGTAAGATGTCATAAAGCTCTTTCTTCCCCAACTTGGTTTTGCTCAGTGTTTTGTCGCAACAGAAAATCAAGCTGGATACCTCGCAAGCACAAAGCCCTGGGTTGTTTCCCAGTACCACAAAAATGGGGTGCGGTGGAACACACCTTGGGTTCCTAACACTTGAGAGGTGGTGGCAGCAGAATCAGGAGTTAGATCAGCCTTGGCTGCATGTGTAAGCTGGAGGTCAGCTTGGTCCCAAGAGACCCAGTTACGAGCACACATAGATGGTAGCTAACAGAAACAATGCTGTTGAATTAGTTGCCCTAAAAAAGTTGTGGGCTGCCGGGCGGTGGTGGCGCACGCCTTTAATCCCAGCACTCGGGAGGCAGAGGCAGGCGGATCTCTGTGAGTTCGAGGCCAGCCTGGACTACAAGAGCTAGTTCCAGGACAGGAACCAAAAGCTACGGAGAAACCCTGTCTCAAAAATCTAAAAAAAAAAAAAAAAAAAAAAAGTTGTGGGCTGGAGAGGTGGCTCACTGGGTGGCTAAGCGCTCTTGCACAGAGCCTGTTTGGTCCCTAGCACCCATATGGTGACTCACAGTCATCTATAACTCCAGTTCCAGAACTGAGGCCCCTTTCTGACCACCAAGGGCAAGGGCAGCAGACATGCTCACAGTGCACATATATGCGTTCCGGCAAAACACTCGGACATGTAAAATAAAAAAAAATTCAAATCAAAAATCAAGTAAAAACTTCACTTTAATTTGAAACACAGTATAAGATATTTTTGAGAGTTGAGCTAAAGTGGTCAAATGGACGTAGTAGCTCCTTTTCTGTTGATGTCATAAAGTGCAATGAACGAAGTAGCTCATGTAGTAAGGAGGAGTTTGTTTTGGCTGAGTGTTCCAGAGGAATAAGAGTTCAGTCCATCATGAAGGGTAGGCAAAGCAGGAAGGACAGGAATGGTATCAGGGACAGCTGAAGGCCCGCACCAAGCAGGGAGAGTGAGCTAGACATGGTGGGAAGCCTTTCATCTCAAAGCCTGTCCCCAGGGACGTAATTCCTCCAGCAAGGCTGTGCACCACCCAAACCTCCCCCCAAAGTGCCACCAGCTGGGGTAGGGGGCAAGTGTTCAAATGCCCAAGACTATGGGAGCCACTTCTCATCCGCTCTACCGCAATGAATAGCACATTTACTATTGTATTCACAGAATGTGGTAAAAGTACAAAGCAAAATCAGAAAGCGAGGAAAAGAAGAATCAAGAAACCTGGGGACTTCTAGGGACAGGAGCAGTTCCAGAAATGTATGATCAAGACTAGGTGGGTAGAGGGAGAGGAGGGGAGGGCTGTTTTTGGAACTAGATGGGCTGTGAAACCACAGAAGTGCCTATAATTATAGTGATTTATAACTTCTATACACACATGCATATGTGTGCAAACTTGAGATTGTTTGATTTTAATGTCCTAGAGGCTAAATCTCACAGGGAGTCAAGAATCCTGGGCTTGGATTGTTCACAGCCCATTAGTCTGTTGCAGGTATCACTGTTTGCCATCTTCTAGTTTGTTAATCAAACAACCCAGACACCAACTGTTTGGCAAACAAACCCTGATTTTACAACGCTGAATTCAAGCCCAGCAGAACATTTAATCTTAAAAATCTTTCTTCCTCTTCATCCTCTGAGCTAGCATTGTTCCTTGCATTGAACTGGAGGAGCACAAACTGACCTCATAAAGTACAATGACATCGTGCAGGAGGAGGACCTTGATGGGGAAGTGGCCAGCAATGTGGCTAAGACTAAAGCAGTGGCTCTTGCAGACTGAGGTATCTTGCCCTCCCCACAGTGGCTCCAGGGACCAGTATTCACGGTGATGCTGTCTCCGCCAGGAAGTGAAAACTGATTTCTCATTTCTGCGGATTTCACCTAGCGACCTCACGCATGCAGGCTAACTATCTGCCACCCGACAACGGCATCCCCAGCCCTCTTTTATTTTCCATGCTGAAACAATGTCTTACTAAGTTACCAGGACTAGCTTTGAACTAGTGATCCTCCTGCCTCGGCGTCCTGAGTACCTGGGAGTTACAGGTCCAGGCTCCGTTTTGTTTTTGGTTTGTGTTTGTTTTGTTTTGCTTTGTTTCCTGCTGAGCTGGCCTCTTTTACTCCTATGGTAAGCTCCTTTGGTAAGCTCCTCGTCAAGCCACACCGCCCCTTCTGGCGGTGAAACGGGTAAAATCCGATGCAGATGCAGCTCCACGCAGACCCAGGTTCCGAGCACAGCCCTTCCCCTTTGCTGCAACTCAACACAATTTGGATTCTGGTGTTCCGCATTCTGGGCTCAGAAGTGCTTTCTGCTGCACCAGCTGGCTGAAGAGTTAGACAACCGACTTAGCTTTCTAGTGGCTTCTTACCAGCAGGCTCCAGTTCTTCTAGGAATACGGCGAAATGGGTCAGCTTAATCGCGGGAAACCAAGGTGCAGTCTCTCAGAACAGCTCAAGCACACGGGCAAGCACGTGCTACGGTGCACACGGGTGGTCTGAGGACAACTCACGGGAGTCAGTTCTCTCTAGCATGTAGGCCCAAGGAATCCAACTTAGCATGTCGAGCTTGGTAGCAAGCATCTGCACCTGCTGAGCTGTCTCAATGGCCCCAAGTCTTTCCTATTTGGTTGATTTTTTATTATTAATGTTTAGCGTTGCTTACCCATTGACACAGGACATGCAATTATTCCCACAACGCTTGAGTCTTTTCTGTTTACTTTGATGCTTTATGTCACATACATTTAAAACAAACTATGTAGTAAATATCGCTCACAGAGGTTTATTCTTAGTTATGAATGCCCGGCCTTAGCTTGGCTTGTTCCTTGTCAGTTTTTCTTAAATTATTCCAACTACCTTTTGCCTCTGGGCTTTTTTTTTTTTTTTTTTTACCTTTCTCTTGCTTTCTCTTACCTATATCTTAATTCCACTCTTACCCCATGACTGGCCAAGAGGTTGGGTGGCCGGGTGGTGGGTGGCCGGGTGGCCGGGTGGTGGGTGGCCGGGTGGTTGGGTGGCCGGGTGGTGGGTGGCTGGGTGGCCGGGTGGCCGGGTGGCTGGGTGGCCGGGTGGTGGGTGGCCGGGTGGCCGGGTGGTGGGTGGCTGGGTGGCCGGGTGGTGGGTGGCTGGGTGGCTGGCCCCTGACGTCCCCCTCTCCCTGTTCTCTCATTGCTCCTCCTTTCCCTCCCTGTCCAGATTTCTCCTTCTATTTATTCTCTCTGCCTGTCAGCCCCATCCATCCTTTCTCCTGCCTTGCTATTGGCCATTCAGCTCTTTATTAGACCATCAGGTGTTTTAGACAGGCAAAGAATCACAGCTTCACAGAGTTAAACAAATGTAGCATAAACAAAAGCAACACACCTTAAAATAATATTCCCCAACAGATCCTTAATCTAGGTTTTTTTCCTATTGTGTGATATGGTATGTTTGGATTTCTTAAATGCATAGAATCTGTTAAATAAGTGTTATTATAACATGAAAAAGTTCTTCTGCATACTTGGTCTTTCCTAGCCTCTCTGGTCCTTCTGTGTTTGTTTTGTTTGCAGATAACTCACTTGAAACAAGGAAGGTGTCCCTTCATCTCTTCCTTAAAAGTTTCTTGGTTATTTTTGATATGTATTCTTCTACATAACAATTTCTACGATTCTCACATGTTTACATTGAAAATTATGTTAAACATAGATATTATTGAAGGAGGAAAGACTTCTATATTAATTTTTTTCTTTGAGTAACATGGTATCTCTCTGATATATTTGTGGTCGTTTGAATGAAAGTGGCCCCAGGGCTCATAGGGAAAGGCACTGTTGGGAGTTGTGACCTATGTTGGAGTGGGTGTGGCCTTGCTGGAGGCAGCAAGTCACTGTAGGTGGGCTTTGAGTTTCAAAAGCTTAAGCCAGACCCAGTGCTCTGAGGGAGGTTCTGTTATCCAACTAGAGCTATTTTCCTTATTGATTGATAAGATTACAGTGGGTGCAGAAAGCCTGGCTCCTTTCCATTTCCATCCCATAACTCCAGGATGGCTAACAGATCTAAAGAACCAAGAGTGTCTCAAGAGATTAACCATTATTTAATGACAACACATCATGATTCAAGGTTTTGAAAACACATATATCCATTTAGAAGAAAAATGGCCAATATCTGTTAAGTGGCCCAGCTTTTTAAAGGGGCCATTTATTTTAGGATAAGCTTTAGGGTGGTATGTGCCCATTCTAGTATCTCACTCTGTAGTCATAGAAAAATGAAGTTCACAATGATATCCCAACCAGGAAGTTGAATATGCATCCTGCTAGCTAACAAGGAAGGACAATAAATCAATACCACTTGCCAAGATTTTTCAACAAAGTGGGGAAGACCCAAAAGACCCTCTGACATAAAACTGCTGAGTATCACATGCCATTAAATTTCATTTCAGTACAATGTTTTCAGAAAACATACGTTTAACAATACATGAAAAGAGTAAATAAAAAAATGAAATCTTACGAACGGTTAAAAAAATATCAGTGTTATCACTTAGAAAAGGTCAGCCCAAAATGCAGCAGAGAATGTGGTAAAGAAACACATAACTCCACCTAGGCTAGCTGATTCAGACATGGAAGTGAAGTCTGGGTGATGCTAGTCTAGATGTCAGGAGATGGCGACGCCCCCATCTCTCATTCTCTCATTACAGATGGTTGTGAGTCACTATGTGGTTGTGGGGAATTGAACTCAAGACCTTGGGAAGAGCAGGCATTGCTCTTAACTGCTGAGCCACTGACTTCCCTACCTACGGGTGTCAAAAAGATAAATCATACATCTGCATTCCTAGGCTGTGAATTCTGAGGTTCATTGCCCCCTCGGGGTAAGAGTTATTCTGGACATAGATGAAAGAGTAAGTTTAGAAAACATCAACAGTCTCCGGGCTGTTTTTCTCTTTGTTTATATAAATAGCAAGACACTGACCTGCAGGACGTAGAGTATGACGGCGGTCAGCCCAACCCAGCTGTGCAGACTGTACATATGGGGGATGCTTCGGACATTGTGGTAATCAAATACGGCCACGACAGAGATGATGATGAGGATGGCGGCCACGGCATTTAACCCCGCGTGGATGGATTTCATCAGGAACTTGCTACACTTCCAGGTCCATGGCAATCTGTACGCGATGATGGCTAAGGAAGCAAAGTGTTTTAGGAATCAGCATAAAGCAAACCATTTGACCCGCCGGACAGCTTCTCTTCAGGGACTTTTCCCTTGGTTTCTGCTTCTCCCAGCCTCCCCTTCTCTCTGCACCCCTTCTCAGTCTCCCATGCCATGTCACTCCTGAGTGTATGCCCCAAAGAAACAGATGCATCCATTCCCCAACACACACCACTGTTAGCCCATCATTTATAGTAGCCCAAATGACTATCACCAATACATGGGATAGTAAGAGATCCATAATGCAGGAAGTCCTTCTGTATGTGTGTTGCTTCTATTGGTTGATGAATAAAGTTGTTTAGGCCAATGGCTTAGCCAGGTGAGAAATCCGAACAGAGACAGAAAGAGTAGGCAGAGTCAAGGAGACACCATATAGCTGTCAAAGAAGAAAGATACCAGAACATTACCAGGCCTCATGGTGATACATAGATTAATAGAAATGGGTCAGTTTAAGACGTAAGAGCTAGCTAGGAATACACATAAGTCATTGCCCAAACAGAGTTGTAATTAATATAGTTTCTGTGTGGTTATTCAGGTCTGGGCGGCTGGGAACAGAAAGTGCAATCTCCATTTACAGATCAGCACTACGGAATAATACACACTGAAGACAGTGAATTGCTTTATGTATACTTCTCAGAATATATACTAAAATCCAGTAAAAAGCCTTAAAATATTTTAAGTGTCCACATTAACCAGCACACAATTAACCTTTTGTTAATTCGTCACGAAGACGACAGAGTGCCCCTCTCCGCCTGATCCATGTCAGGAAAATTCTATTTGGAAACGTGCGACAGATTGAAAATTCTGAAGACCACTTCAGTGGAAGATGAGCCCCACTCCATCAGTCGTGGGCTACGTACTTTCTTCATTCCAGGAAGTAAGGAAAAGGAACCTGACACCATCAAAAGACAGTATGATTTGGATATATTAAAATGTCTTAGGTTGGGGAGATGGCTCATGGTTAAGAGTATTTACCGCTCTTGCAGAGGGCTTAGCTTCAGTTCCCAGCACCCACATGGTGGCTCACAACCGTCTGTAATGCTCGTTTTAGTGGATCTCACACCCTCTTCTGACCTCCTTGCATAACAGCTATGTATATGGTACACATACATATATACACATACACACATATACATACATACATAGATACATAAATACATACATACAACAGACATTCATACACACAAATGAATCTAAAAGAAAAAATTTAAATGCCCTAAGATCATGCAAACTTCTGAGAGGAGAGACACACCTGAAACCACAAAGAGGAGAATGCAGCCTCGCTAAAGGTTTCATCGTAGGGTACCGCGAGTCCCATCCTGCGGTCCCGTCCCAACACCTGACAGATCCCCACAAGAGAACAGCATTTCTTTTTCTTGACCCAAATTCCAAGGGATTGTTGCTTACTGGTCAATGCTTATGGAGATACTTTATAAAAATCTTGATTGAGGGCCGGTCAGGTGGCTCAGAAGGGCAAAGCACTCGCCACCAAGTCTGATGACCTGCGTTTGATCCCCACAGCCCACAAATTGTCCCCTAATCTGGACCTCTGTGTCCTGGCACACACACCTCCATACATACACACACAGAGGCTAAACAAATATAATAAAATCATACGAGGATCATATGAGGACATGGAGAACCATTGGCTAATTCTGTCTAGACTCAGTGACTCTTCTCAGGCCAGTTATCACAGAACCTTAGACTTCTGGAGCTTGCTCAAGGTATTTCATTTCATCTCAGCATGTCCATGTCTTGCTGTTTCTCTCCTGTGTCCTAGACCCTAACACAGCCTCACAGTATGAAGGTCCGTGAATGTCTTCCAAAGTCTCACTTTGGGCTAACTGTAGATTCGCACGTAACTGTGAGAACACATACAGAAAGCTCTCAACCCTTTCCCTCCAGGTCCTCCGGACATCTTGCTTACCCCGGGACATCACAAACAGGACACTGGCATCAATGTGACTAACTGCCCTGATCCAGGTTTCTCCAGCTCGACTTACTTCTGAGAGAGACCCACAACATTTTTGAAAGTAAACAAACACAAAGCTCTTCTTCCAGCAAACTGACCAAAATCTAGAAACCAAATTAGCATCAGCTCAAACACCAGTTTACTCTCCTCCTGCCTTTTCTCCTTTACGGATTTAGGGGCACACCTCGTATAATCATGGGGAGTAGACACCCCTACCCCATGACTCCGTGGCCATTAGTCTACAGCATGAGGTCTTTTACAATCTGTGTGGTCCGAGAATAGTAAAATTAGTTAAGTGGAAATGTATACTGTAGAAAGACATAAAATCATTGGAGATAAAACTCAGTGATATATATGGAGCACTTGTCTAGCATGTACAAGGTCCTGGGTTTGGTTCCCAGCCCTGGCAGGGGGAGCAGAGATGGGGCAATTCCCTGGTTTAATGTCATTTAACACATACACACACACACACACACACACACACACACACACACAGGATTGTCTTAAAGTCTTACAAAACATGTCTACAAACAAACATGTCATGTGCCTGTCACATATTGGGAAGTCACAAAGTATCAGTGAAAAAAAATTAACAAAAAAGCAATTAATTCTGCATTCTCAAAACATAATAGAGTCTCATGTTTGTTTTGTTTTTTTCAATTTTGTTTATTTATTTATTTGTTTATTTGGAGTTTTTGAGACAGGGTTTCTTTGTGTAGCCCTGACTCTCCTGATACTTACTTTGTAGACCAGGCTGGCCTTGAACTCACCGAGAAACCCTGCCTCTGCCTCCCAAGTGCTGGGATTAAAGGCATGTGCTACCCCTGCCTGCCTCTTTCAATTTTATTTTTAAAAAGTAAGATACAGCTGGATAGGATGACTCCCACCTGCATTCCCAGAACTAAGAGGTTGAGGCAGGAGGATTACTGTTAGTTCTAGGCTAAGCTGGGCTACAGAGAGAGTTCCAGGCCAAACTGAGCTACAATGAGATCCTATCTCAAAAAAAAAAGTAGGATATATTTGAACATTTGAATATATTTAGGTCATACAACAATATCTTTCGTTATATATTATGAAATGGTTAAGTTAAAGTACCTAACATACCAGTTTTTGTTGCAACAGGTCCTCTTCTAATATTTATCTATGTGTGTGTGTGTGTGTGTGTGTGTGTGTGCGTGTGCGCGCGTGCGTGCGCGTATGTATATAAGCTGGAGGACAACTCTCAGAAGTCAGTTCTGCCACCATATGGAATTTGGGGATCTGCTCATAAGCTTGGCTGCAATCACCTCTACACGCTGCACCATATCACCAGCCCAAATCCTCTTTTAAAAGTATAAATTGGGAGCTGGAGGAGTGGATCAGGATAACGTGCTTCGTGTACAATCGTAAGGACTTCATTCTGGGCACTGGGGTTGAGGGCAGTCCCAGGGGCTTGCTATCCAGCCAGTCCACACTAATCGGTGATCTCCTGGTTCAGTGAGAGACCTTCTCTCACAAAATAAGGTGGGGATGACAGAGAAAGACACGTGAAGTTGACCTCCAGCCACACAGGCACGTACACACGGAAGTGCTGCAACACATACATGTGCACGTACACACAGAAGTGCCCCAACACATACGTGTGCACATAGATACCACACACACATTGATAAAATGCGCAGATCAAAATCTCAAAGCAAACCACACTGCAGACACAAATGCTAGTTCATATAAGATCAAATGTGGCTTTCAAATAAGTAAAAAGGCATTTTTACTCTTGGGCCCACTTAACAGTAAGTTAAAGAGTAAGCCATTGAGTCTGAAGTGCATGGGGATTTGAAATCACTTATGAAGTCTCCTTAAACACGGTGGGCCTTTACGCGTTCCTTCCCACTAGAATAAAGTATTATTTTCCCTCTGACATCTTCAGAACAGCATCACCCATCCCTAGAACTCATTCCTCTGTGTACCCAATTTACCAGGTCCTATACAGAGGGCCTCAGCTTTAAACGGAAAAGCAAAGAGCCCTCTTTAAAATCCTGCAGTGCCTACAAACCAAAAGTTTGCAACATGCCAAATACCAAGAAACTGAAGTGCAGAGAGTGATGTGGATGACTGGGATTTGGCTCAGCATCCTGGCTGTGAGACGTCTGAAATCATCACAAAGGCAAATGCTTCCTAGCAAATAACTGTGCGAAAAGTATCAGGGCAGGAAGAATTCGTGCACTGGCTAGATATTTTTAATATTGAGGAGTGGTTTTTTTCTTTTTATATTTTACTTACCTTTATTTTATGTGTATTAAGAGTTTGCCTGTATGATTATCTGTGCACCACATGCAGGAAGTGCCTGAGGAGACCAGAAGAGGGTGTTAGATCCTCTGGAACTGGAGTTACAGGCAGCTGTTACCCCACTGCATGGGTGCTGGTAATTGAACCCCAGTCCTCTGGAAGAGCAGACTGTACTCTTAACCACTGCGCCATCTCTTCAGCCCTGTCCATCAGTATTATATGGTGTTAGAAAATTGGCTGTATTAAATAAAGTACCGGACCTGATTAAACCTGGTTGATTAACCATGGCCAAGCTTATGACTGTTCAAATGAGGAGTTGAATGGATTATCCCAGACAGTTCTAAACATTAAAGGATCAGTGCAAACCAACACTCAACTGGCCTGGAACTTGGTTTGTAGACCAGGCTGGTCTTGAACTCACAGAGATCCTCCTGCCTCTGCCCTTTGAGTGCTGGGATGAAAAAGGTATGTACCACCACACACAGTTATAAAATACATTCTTTAAAAAAAAATGTTACTCATCTCTAACTAAATCAAATGGAAACAACTTATAGAAAAGACACAACTACCTTCCTTCCTTCTTCCTTCCTTTCTATTCTAAGGATAGAACCCAAGACATGCTAAGCATGGACTCTACCAATGATCTACATCGCCAGCCCACTGCTCATATTTTAATGTTTTATACAGTATTTGGCATACAGCAGCTGCTTAAAATACACACACACACACACA